TGCAATATGGGTATCAAACTGAAGAGGTTTAGGAAAGTTTACTGCCGAAAATGTTTTTGAGGGTTGCCACCTGTTTAAAAAATTAAAACTTGATTAAATTGATAAAATTAATTAAATATTACAATACGGGTATCAAACAACCCAAAAATACTTTTAAGGCGCAGTGAAGCACGTCGGGTATTTGCTAGTCAAAAATATTATCGAAATCATTTGGAAAGGTTTTAAATAGAAATCGATGAAAACAAATGATGTTCAAAATTTTGTTTGAGATAGATTTTTTTGTTGACAAAAGACGGCGACGCAGACGGACGTTACGTACTTTCACTTTTAGGTCTGGCAAACTGCTGCAGCTACCCACAATCCTGGTGGGGGCGTCGTCGTTCATTGCACGTATTGTCCAATCGTCTCATCTGCTCAGCTAAGTGTATTCATCTTCTTCGATCTTTCGACAAGCTTGAATACGTTAAAGTCACCCACTACCATAGGGGTTTCAACTCTGAGACAGGTGGTATTTAAACCTTAAATATTTCTTGCTTGACATGGGTCCGGCCTGTGGGCGATGTCTGTTTCGATAAAACGAGCTAGGATCCCACTATCGGCGCAAATAGCACAATATGTTCCGATTTTCATTGTGCTTGATTGGTACATACATATTTAAAAAATTTGCAAAACTACTTTTTGAGTGGTCCCATTATCATCGCATATTGTGACAATCTTTTTCGGAGCATATGGGCCAAATTTAATATGCGACGATATTCGGCACAACATGACCGCATTATCGTGCTTGATTAATAATAACAATCAACAAATTTTCGACTTTGATGGAGGCATGAGCGCCCAATAAAAAAATATCTGAATTTTTTTTACTTTTTTTTGTCCTACAATGACCAAAAGAGTATTCACATTATCGGTACAGCAATATTAGTTTTGGTTGCTTATAATAATAATAGATTGGCGCTTACACACTACGTTAGTGTTTGACCGAGTTTCTGCTCCCATTTGTGGCGTGCGCATGGATGTAGTCATACAAAAGGAGGGACCTACAGTTTTACGCCGACTCCGAACGGCGATTGTTTTTTTATGAGAAGCTGTTTTTCATGACAGAAAAAACCATTTTTCTATATTTTTTCGCGATGTTGCTTTGACCAGGGCTTGAGGAGTAGTAGGTCATTGGTGATTAATCTTAAGACTTTTGTTCAAAGCAGAATTTCAAAAGTACTATCAATGAATTGGCAACCGCTTACAAAAGATTTCTTTGGAAATTTTAATTTGGAAAGAAGCGATAGTTTAATAAATAAATATCGAAAACCCACAATGCAATTATCATTTTGTAGCACTTACGTAAGCTTGCACCGCCAGCAAAGTTGTATCTTCCTCCTTTACGCATACATTTCTGCGAGGCTCTGTATACTTTAACGATATCAATGCACGTTGCGAAGGTAGAGAAATCCACGATGTTGCCTTAAATGCCAATGACTCACATCCAGGGAGTGTTTGGACATTTCTTAATAGGAAACTTGTGTCAAAAAGGGTCAGTCGTAATCTACTGATTAAATCTGGTAGTTTATGTTTCCGCCCAGAAGCATCGTACTCATACCACTGCTTCACAGCATAAAAAGCATCTTCTTCACAAGTCACATTCAAATTATGGCTTTCTATTATTGCCTGCAATTTTTCAGCATCAAAGCTAAGAAACTCACGGTGTTTGCTTATCTGAAAATAAAAATAAGAAATATGTAGGTACATGAGGGCGGATCATTCTTTGTTTACCATGCGCGTATAGCATAAGAGGAATCTACGTGTAATTCGAAGAAACCATGAGTCTAAAATCAATTCGGAGTTTGGCAAATGGAATGGTTGTTATTTTTTTTATAAAAGTCTAGCTAGCTACATAACGAACACCATATATACCATATTGACCAGTACACCACGGCGGCCGCCAAAATACTATTATTGGGTATTATTATTAAGCTTGTGGAATATATGTACATATGAATAATACGAAACTGCGGAAAAGCAATATGACTCACCTCCATAAAATTATTTATATCATATTCCAAGAGTTTCTCATACAGTGGTACACACTGAGTTTCACGCTCTAAGCTATATGCCCGCTGCAGTGTATAGTCAGTTATATGTTCCAAAATATAGTCAACACAATTGACCACCGCCTCATCCAACTTCAAATATATTGCTGCCTTAAGCATTGCGTCCACATTATCGATGGTTACGAGCGTTTGGCCGGTGTAGCAAAATGTTATTAAACGCTCAAAGGTGTCACTGTCTATGTCAATTATTTCGATAACAGGAGTTAGGCCCTTGTCGCTTTTGAATAAATCTTTAAAATATGGACTTGCCGCTGATAATATTAAGCGATGTGCTGGAACCCTGTGAGAATTGTAATAAAATATTATATGAAATTGTTAAATGCATAAATAAATCAGTGGTAAACTTACATAGCAGTCGGATTAGACAACTTAAATGTTACATCTATGAGGTCCTGCTCATCGTAGAAGTCGCATATATTGTTCAGCAGTTTCTTGATGAAATGATTGAGGTCTTGGCCATTCACATCTAGAAGTAGTTGACGTGTGCCATTTGTTGCCATTGCTACTGGTGTTGAAATTACTTCCTTTGATTTTTTGTTTGTTTGTTTGTTTGTGGTCTGCTAGAGCGACCAGTATTTACCTGTTGGTCAGTGTATTGAAGATTCCAAATATGGAGTATGTATTTATGTATGTACATATATTCATGAGCCAAAAATGTATTTCGTTCATGTGTATATTTGCGGATACTTAAATGTCCCAATCAGCAAAAAATGCGAAAGCGAAAAAAGAAAAAGTGGATGAAGTGTGGGTTTTGGTCCGTTTACCGATTCTATTTTCGGATACTTTGACGATCCCTTTTTCCACTGCAGAAACATATGTATTTAGAGAAAAGTTAAAAAAAAAAATAAAAAATGAATGAAAATCAAAGTCAAAGTTTAAGATGAATTTGCTCAATTTTGCACATTTTGAAATTTTTTTTTATTTTATTCATCTTCTTCACTGGCGCTGTAAGCGCGTGAGCAATTCTGGATTGATCCTTTATTTGTATTTATCACTACCTATAGATAATTATTTTTGAAATTTAAAATTATTATTTTTTTAGAGAAGCATTTAACCACCTCAATTTAAGAAAATTAAAAAAATACTTTAAAAATAAAAAGTAAAATAAAGAAAAACAAAAACAAATAACATACAAGAAAAATACAAAATAAAGTCTAAATTCGTAATTGGTAAAAAAAAAATTTAAAAAACAAAAAAAAAATGAAAAATACAAATCCACTCTCGAATTTTCCCGTCAATTTTGACCTGTTCCGCTAAACTGGACTACTACCGTGAATTGTACATCGGAATTCGCACGATTGCGGATTCGATGTTAACAGCCTATAAAGGCCTGGGTGCAGCTCTCAAGAAAAGCAAAAACTCCATATAAAATGACGTACAAGAAAAGGCTAAGAAATTTTCTTGTTCAAATTTCCTTAAGGTAGTACGCAGTTCTTAAGAAATTTGCTCCGCTTTCTACTACGTTTTTCTAAAGTTTTTTGTGAAAAAAGAACCCAAGGCAACCCATGCTCGCAACAGAAATATAAGCCCGTTCCATTATTTCTTGAGGAAAGAGTGAGGCAACAGGCTGTCACAGGCTGTGAAGTATCAGATGTCAAAATTTCTTGGACACACACACGAAATATGGAGATTTTTCCTTGACCGTTTTCTTGAGAGCTGCATACAGGCCTTTAGAAAAGTAAAGTAAGCTATTGTGAATGAAAAAGAGTACAATTGTACCAAAAATGCCAACACTGTACTACACTACAAACATGCATACATACACATGTAAAGATGTATTTTCTTCTTACCCATAAAACAATCAGAATGTTAACAAATTAAAGGCATCTGGCACAATTTAGAGGTTTGTAAACTCGTATGTTATAGCCCAGATTAACGCTAACTTATCGCGCGATGTTATTTGCAAAACGTCCTGGAAAAGAAGTTTTGGATTTCTTACACAGACCTTTACTACCACAAAAATTACAATCACAATATAACCAGTAAACAACCTTCGGTGAATTTGGCGACTGCCTTCCTCGGGGATGAATATGCTAGGGATGAAATTATTGGTACACACGCCTTCCAAGCACGCAGGGTTGCTTTTAAGAAACA